GCCGAAGTCAGCACTAAACCACTGAGCTACCCGTGCTGCCCTCAACAGCATTTGTTAAAGAGACTATCCTTTCCCCATTGAGTAGTTTTTATGTCCTTTTTGAAGATTACCTGACCATATACATGAGGGTTTATTTCTGGTTCTGCTATACTTCACTGGTCTATCTGTCTTTATGCCAGGGCCATGCTATTTTGACTTCTTTAGCCGGGCAATGTATTGAAATGAGGACATGTGAATTCTCCAACTTTGTTCTTTTTTTCCAAAGTTATCTTGGCTATTTGGCTTCCCTTGCTTCCAAATAATTTTAGGACGGATTTTTCGATTTCTGGGGGAAAAATGGTATCAGGATTTTGGTAGAGATTGCCTTGAACCTGTGAAGTACTTTGGGCAGCGTTGACATTTTAGCGATATTAAGTCTATCAACTTATGAATGAAGCTATCTATTTTTTTTGTGTTTTTTAAAACATTACTCTGACATGTTTTCTCATTTTCAGCGTATGATTCTTTCACTTCTTTCGTTAGTCTTATTCCTGAATATCTTACTTTTTTCAGTGTTGTGGTAAATGGAGTTGTGTTCTTAATTTCCACTTCAAATTGTTCATTGTTAATATATAGAGATGCAACTGAGTTTTGGTGTGTTGGTTTTCATGTCTGCAACCTTGTTGAATTTGTTTAGTGCTTCTAATTTTTTTTAATCCTTATGATTTCTATGTATAAGATCATGTTATCTGCAAATATAATTCTTCTTCTTCCTTTCCAATTTGGATGTTTTTTGTTTCTTTTTCTTGCCTAATTGCTCTTGCTAAGATTTCTAGTACTATATTTGATAGAAAGGCCACAGTAAACAACGTTATCTTGATCATGTTTTTAGAGGAAAAATTTGAGTCTTTTGCTATTTTGTACATCAGTTGGGATTTTTTTTCATATTTGGTCTTTATTATGCTTAGTTGGTTTACTTTTACTCCTAGTTTAGTAAGAGTTCTTTTCATGAAAGATTATTAAATCTTGTGAAGTGGGTTTTTTTTTCATTATTTGATATAAACATCTGGTTTTTTAAATTTTTTTTCAATTTAAATTTAATTAGCCAACATATACTAAGTACATCATTAGTTTCAGATGTAGGGTTAAAATAATCCATCAGTGAGTATATGCTTTTTGTCTTTCATTCTGTTCACTGATTAATTTGTTTTCTCATGTTGAACTATCCTTGCATTCAAGAAATCCCCCTTTGTTGGGGTATATAATCCTTTCAATGTGCTATTGAATTTCTTTTGTTTATAATATTTTCTTGAGGATCAATATTCATCAAGGGTATTGATCTTTAGTCTTCTTGTAGTATCTGTTTGGCTCCAATATCAGGGTAATGCTGGCTTAGTTATTGTATTTTTCTGCTCCGGAGTGTCTTTTTGGATCTTTTCTATGGTTTCTATCTTTATGTCAGTATTCTCATTTTGTCATCCATTTCCTGATTTCGTCTCATTGTTTCTCTTGTTGTCTTTTAGCTCATTGAATATATTTAACAAATTGTTTTCAATTCTTCACCAAGAAATTCAGCAGTCTGTCTTTCTCTAGGATTCATATCTGGAGTCTTATTTTGTTTCTGTGACTGAGCCATGTTTCCCAGTTTCTTTGTATGCTAGCGATCTGTTGTTGAGATATGGCCATTCAGAAAAAAACAGCCTCTTCTCAGTCTTTATGGACTGGCTTTGTTCAGGGGAATACTTCATCAGTCAGCCCTAGAATCTAGAAGTTTGGAACATCACCAATATCTTCTGGTGATGCATTCTCTGGACCTAGTGTGTACTTTTAACTGTCTCAAGTTCCACAAACAGCGAGTCCCTAATTTCTTCTTAGAAATGTATAATTTTTCTCTCCCTGGCATCGGCATGTAAAACTACAGAATTTCTGCAGCTCTGGTGTGCTGTGACACTTGCTTATATTTTCAGTAACCTCCAAACTGCTGCCATTCCCATCAATGTTCCATGTCTGATGAGGCATAAAATCTATATCACCCAGGGAGCCCCAGACAAGCCAGGGTGTTGGACTGATAGTCTACTCTGATTTGCATCCCAGGGACGATTCACTAGATTTACCCTGGTTGTGCCTTACTGATCTGAGTGGGGAGAGATCCAGTTGTACACAAAATGCCATGAAATCTCCTATGCTTTTAAAGGGAATCCCATCTTACTTTTCTGTTGGCCTGGGTCATACACCATTTCAAGTGGGCTCTAGAGTTCTCACAAAGATATTCGGGTTCTTCTTTGTTGTTAACTTGTATTTCCATGGGTAATGAGGACCTGGAGCTTTGAAGTCTACCATCTGCTGACATCACATCCTCTATATTTGTGTTTTGAACTGTCCTCATATTCCATTCTTTTCTTATAATGTCCTTATCAGGCGCTGGTATTGTGGTAATGCTCCTCTTATGAGTTTGGGGTGTTTGTGTGTGTCTGTGTGTGTGTGTGTGTGTGTGTGTTTGTTTTTTGAATGAGTTTGAGAAGAGCTGGCATTAATTGTTCTTTATGTGTTGGGTAAAATTCACCAGTGTGTACATTTGGTGTTGGGTTTTTATTTATTTTTGGTTTGTTCATTTGTTTTTCAGTTGGGAGAGTTTTCATTACTGATTCAGTCTTTCTCCTATTTAATTGGACTGTTTCAATGATCTGTTTCTCCTGGCTCAGTCTTGATAGATTGTGTGTTTCTGAGAATTTCACCCTTTCCCAAGTTGTGCAGTTTGTTGGCATATAATCAATAATCATTTGTAGTAGCCTCTATGATCTTTTGTTTCTGTGGTATCAGTTTTAGTCTCTCCTCTTTGAGATGTATTTTTGTTGATTTGGGTTCTCTTTATTTCTAGGATACCATAGCTAGGAGTTTATCAATTTTGTTCATCTTTTCAAAAAACTAATTCTTAGTTTGTTCATCTCTCCTATTATTTTTCTGTTCTCTATTTTAATTATTTTGGCTCCAATCTTTTATTTCCTTTCTTCTGATAACTTTGGGCTTAGGTTATTCTTTTTTTTTTAAGATTTATTTATTTATTTATTTATTTATTTATTTATTTATGAGAGAGACACAGAGAGAAAGAGAGACATAGGCAGAGAGGAAGCAGGCTCCCTGTAGGGAGCCCATTGTGATACTCAGTCTCAGGACCCCGGGATCTCGACCTGAGTGAAAGGCAGATATTCAACCACAGAAGCAGTTATTCTTTTTTAAAATTTTTTAAAATTTTAATTTAATTTTAAATTCCAATTTAGTTAATATAGAATGTTATGTTAGTTTCAGGTGTACAATATAGTGATTCAGCACTTCCATATGTCACCCGGTGCCTATCACAAGTGCACTCCTTTAATCCATGACCTATTTTACCCATCCCTTACTCCCCTCTGGTAACCATCAATTTGTTCTCTATAGTTAAGAGTCATTTCCTGGTTTATCTTTCTTCCTCTCTTCCTTAGCTCATTTTTAAATTTTTATTTATTTCTGTGAGAGAGACAGAGAGCGAGCAAGCACAAGCAGCAGGGATGGTCAGAGGGACAAGCAGACTCCCCGCTGAACAGGGAGTCCAATGTGAGACTCAATCCCAGGATCCTGGGATCATGACCTGAGCCAAAGACAGATGCTTCACCAACTGAACCACTTAGGTGCCCCCCTTTGCACATTTTTTTGTTTCTTAAATTACACTTAGGAATGAAATTATATAGTATTTGTGTTTTTCTGACTCACTTATTTCACTTAACATTACTCTTTAGCTCCATGTACATCATTCCAAATGATGAGATTTCATTCTTTTGTTGGCTGAATAATACTCCATCGCATATGTACCACTTCTTCTTTATCCATTCATCTATTCTTTCTAGAGTACTTGAGATATATATATATATATATATATATATATATATATATATATGTCTTTTTCTGTATGTGTTTATAGCATTAAGCTCTCCTAGAAATCTTTTGCTGCATCCTAAATGTTTTGGTATATTGTGTTCCCTTTTTTTCATTTGTTTCAAGACACTATGTATTTGTATTAAGAAAGAGAACCTGAGAGTGGGTTGGGGCAGGGGGAAAGGAGAGGGAGAATCTTAAGGAGGCTCCACACTCACTGCAGATCCCGGCACAGGGCTCGATCTCAAGATCCTGAGATCATGATCTCAGCCAAATCAGAAGTCAAATGCTTAACCAACTGAGCCACCCAGATGGCCTCAAGATACTTTTTAATTTCCCCCTTAAGTAATTCTATGAAAATTCTTTTTCTTCTTTGACCCGTTGGTTGTTAAGAGAATGTTGTTTCATAAGTAGTTCTTTATACATCTGGGACTTCACTAATAAGGTGGTCACTGGCCAGGCACATGTGACAATTTACATTAAAATTAATTAAAATTATATAAAATTAAAAATTCACTTTCTCAATCACACTAGCCATATATATCAGATATGTAATAACCACATACCATATTAGGCAGCACTAGTAGACAGTATTTCCTTTTTACAGTAGGATCTATTGGTAGTCTTGATATAGAATAATAGTTGTCAACCAGGTGCAGTTTTGTCCCCCATGGTACGTATGGCAATGTCTGAAACATTTGATTTCACAGGTAGGGGATCGGTGTTTTAAAGGCATCTAGTGGGTAGAGTTCTGGAAAGCTGTTAAAATCCCATAATTCTCAGGACAGCCCCCCAACAAAGACTCATCCGGCCCACATGCCAGTCATTTTGACCATGAAAACCTTTGCCCTATAATATGTTTTGGTGTGAGGTGGAGAGCTCGTTGTTTTTCCCTCTGACTGGCCAGTTGACTAGACCCCCTCTGCTGTGTGTTCTCAACCCATCCTCTGTTTACTGCTGGTGAACTTTAAGCTAAACATGTTTTTTCACTTAAATGGTGGAGAAGGTCCTATTGCCTTGCAAAAAACATACAATTTTTAAAAATCGACTTCTGCTGTCTTACAGATTCTTTGACTCTGCACATATAGACAAGTCTCTGTTTCTGGCTCATCATGGCTTCAACTTCAAGGTAAGTGCCTTTGATAAAAGCCTTTATGAAAGGCCAGGCCCAGGGCATTTTTAGCTCTTGGTCCTGCTGGCCTCACTAAGCATATGGTGTCTAGGAAAGAAAAAGGAGGAAGAGAGAGCAGAAAAGGAAGATTGAGGAAAGATGAGGCAGACAGGGTAGTGTATGTGGTATGGGTGAGGCTTTGTAGCTCCAGAGTCTACACTGTGTCTGAAAATGTGATTTATTTTTCTCACTTTTTTTTAAGATTTATTTTTTTATTGAGAGAGAGATAGAGAGAAAGAGCACAAGTGGGAGGGTTAGAGAGAGAGGGAGAACACACTCCAGATTGAGCACGGAGCCTGATGTGGGACTTGACCTCATGACCCTGCGATCAGGATCCAAGCTGAAACCAACTGTTGGTCACATAACTGACTGTGCCATCCAGGCGCCCCTTCCTCATCTTTTAATGCACAAGGTGCTTGCTACTGGACTACCATGGTCCCTGCAAGCTTTACCATTCCATGAGTCTTCTTTCTTTATTTTTTCAAGTTTTTACTTAAATTCTAGTTAGTTAACATATACTGTAATATTGGTTCAAGACTAGAATTTAGTGACTCATCACTTACCTATAACACCCAGTGCTCATCACAAGTGCCCTCCTCAATGCCAATCACCATGCCAATCCCCTGCCCACCTTCCCTCCAGCAAGCCTGTTTGTTTTCTATACTAAAGAATCTCTTATGGTATATCTCCCACTCTTTTCCTTCCTTCCCCTATATGCGTATTTTTTTTTAATTCCACATATGAGTGAAATCATCTGGTACTTTCTCTGACTGACTGACTTTGCTTAACATACATAATACATTCTAGTTCCTTCCATATCATTGCAAAAGAGAATATCAACTTTTGATGACTAATATTCCATTGTCTGTCTATCTATCTATCTATCTATCTATCTATCTATCTATCATCTATCTATCTATCTATGACATCTCCTTTGACTGTTCATCAGTCCATGGACATTTGGGCTGTTTTCATAGTTTGTCTAATGTTGACAATGCTGCTGTAAATATTAGGGTGCATGTGCCCCTTCAGAGAATATTCTTGTATCCTCTGGGTAAATACTTAATAGTGCTGTTGCTAGATCACACATAGGGTAGTTTTATTTTTAACTTCTTGAGGAACCTCCATACTGTTTTCCAGAGTGGCTGTACCGGTTTGCATTCTCCCAAGAGTGTAAGAGGGTTCTCCTTTCTCCGTAACCTTGCCAACATCTGTTGTTTTCTGTGTTGTTAATTTTAGACATTATGACAGGCGTGAGAAGGGATTTCATCATGATTTTGGTTTGTATTTCCCTGATGATGAGTCATGTTGAGCATCTTCCCATGTGCCTATTGGCCATTTGTAGGTCTTCTTGGGAAGAATGTCTATTCTGTCACTGCCCCTTTCTTAAATGGATTATTTGGTTTTTGGGTGTTGATCCTGGAGTGTTGATCCAGGTCATGATCCTGAAGTCCCAGGATCGAGTCCCGCGTTGGGATTCCCGCATGGAGCCTGCTTCTCCCTCTGCCTGTGTCTCTGCCTCTCTCTCTCTCTGTGTCTCTCATGAATAAATAAATAAAATCTTCAAAAAGGAAAAAAAAACACAGTCTTCAATAAGTGGTGTTGGGAAAATTGGACAGCCACGTGCAGAAGAATGAAACTGGACCATTCTCTTACACCACACACTAAGACAAACTTTGTAGTTCTTTGTAGATTTTGAATAAGAGCCCTTTATCTGATATGTCTTTTGCAAACATCTTCTCCTATTCCATAGGTTGCCTTTTAGTTTTGTTGATTGTTTCCTTTGCTGTGCAGGTTTTCATCTTGATTAAGTCCCAGTAGTTCATTTTTGCTTTTGTTTCCCTTGCCTTTGTACATGTATCTTGCAAGAAGTTACTGCGGCCAAGTTCAAAAAGGGTGTTGCCTTTGCTCTCCTTTAGGATTTTGATGGATTCTTGTCTCACATTTAGATCTTTCAAGCCTTTTTTAAATTTTTTTTAAAATCTATTTATGATAGGCACAGACTCAGAGAGGCAGAGAGAGAAGCAGGCTCCATGCACCGGGAGCCAGACGTGGGACTCGATCCCGGGTCTCCAGGATGGCACCCTGGGCCAAAGGCAGGCACTAAACCGCTGTGCCACCCAGGGATCCCCTCTTTCAAGCCTTTTGAGTTTGTCTTAGTGTGTGGTGTAAGAGAATGGTCCAGTTTCATTCTTCTGCACGTGGCTGTCCAATTTTCCCAACACCACTTATTGAATAGACTGTTTTTTCCTTTTTAAAGATTTTATTTATTTATTCATGAGAGACACACAGAGAGAGAGGCAGAGACACAGGCAGAGGGAGAAGCAGGCTCCATGCAGGGAGCCAGACGCGGGACTCGATCCCAGGACTCCAGGATCACGACCTAGGCTGAAGGCAGGTGCTAAACTGCTGAGCTACCCAGGGATCCCCCAGACTGTGTTTTTTCCAGTGACTATTCTTTCCTGCTTTGCTAAAGATTAGTTGACCATAGAATTGAGGGTCCATTTCTGGGTTCTTTATTCTGTTCCACTGATCTATGTGTCTCTTTTTGTGCCAGTACCACACTGTCTTGATGACCACAGCTTTGTAATGCAGCTTGAAGTCAGCATTGTGATGCCCCAGCTTTGCTTTTCTTTTTCAACATTCCTCTGACTTTTTAGGGTCTGTTGTGGTTCCATATAAATTTTAGTGTTGTGTGTTCCAGCTCTGTGAAAAATACTTTTGGCATTTTGATAGGGATTCCACGAATGTCTAGATCCCTCTGGGTAGAATAGACGTTTTCGCAATATTCTCCCAATCCATGAGCATAGAATGTTTTTCCATTTCTTTGTGTCTTCCTCAATTTCTTTCACAAATATTCTGTAGTTTTCAGAGGACAGATACTTTACCTCTTTGGCTAGGTTTATTCCTTGGAATCCAATTGTTTTGGTGCATTTAAATGAGATCAATTCCTTGATTTCTTTTTCTGCTGCTTCATAATTGGTGTATAGAAATACAAGAGATTTCTACCTTGATTTTGTATCCTGCAACTTTCCTCAATTCGCATATCAGTTCTAGAAATTTTTTGCTGGATTCTGTTGGGTTTTCTAAATAGAGTATCATGTTGTCTGCAAATAATGTAAATTTGACTTATTTGATGGTTTGAATGGATTTCTGGTATTTTATTTTATTTCAATTTTTTTAACAATAAATTTATTTTTTATTCGTGTTCAATTTGCCAACATACAGAATAACACCCAGTGCTCATCCCGTCAAGTGCCCCCCTCAGTGCCCGCCACCCAGTCACTCCCACCCCCCGCCCTCCTCCCCTTCCACCACCCCTAGTTCGTTTCCCAGAGTTAGGAGTCTTCCATGTTCTGTCTCCCTTTCTGATATTTCCCACACATTTCTTCTCCCTTCCCCTCTATTCCCTTTCACTATTATTTATATTCCCCAAATGAATGAGGCCATATAATGTTTGTCCATCTCCGATTGACTTATTTCACTCTCTGGTATTATTTTAAATAAGAATGGTGAGAGCGGACATCCCTGTTTTGTTGCTGACCTTGGAGGAAAAGCTCTATTTGCCCCCATTGAGGACGATATTAGCTGTGGGTCTTTCATCCATGGCCTTTATGATGTTGAGCTATGTTCCCTCTATCCAGACTTGTGCTTTGTCAGATGTTTTCTCTGCATCTATGGAGAGGATCATGTGGTTCTTACTTTTCTTTCATTAATGTGGCATATGATATTGATTGACTTGTGGATGTGGAACCCCCCTTGTAGCCCAGGAATAAATCTCACTTGATTGTGCTGAATGATTCTTTTAGTCTAGTAGTGGATTTGATTTCTTAGTATCTTGTTCGGAATTTTTGCATGCACGTTCATCAGGGATTTTGACGTCGTTGGGGTCTTTGTCTGGTTTTGGAGTCAAGGTAATGCTGGCTTCATAAAAAATGAATTTGGAGGGTTTTTTCCATTTCTACTTTTTGGAACAATTTGAAAAGAATAGGTACAAGCTTTTCCTTAAATGTTTGGTAAAAGTTCCCCGAGAAACCATGTGACCCTGACTTTTATTTGTTGGGAGATTTTTTTTTGTATTTTTTTTGTATATTTTTTTTTATTGGAGTTCGATTTGTCAACATACAGTATAACACCCAGTGCTCAACCTGTCAAGTGCCCTCCTCCGTGCCCGTCACCCAGTCACTGCACACCCCACCTGTCTCCCCTTCTACTACCCCTTGTTTGTTTCCCAGAGTTAGGAGTCTCTCTGCTTTGTCACCCTCTCTGATTTTATTTTTGGGAGATTTTTAATTACTGATATAATTTATTTGCTGGTAATGGGTCTGTTCACATTTTTTGTTTTTTCCTGATTCACTCTTGGTAGTTTATATGTTTCTAGGAATTTATCCCTTTCCTCCAGATTGCCCACTTAGTTGGCATATTAGGTTTCATAATATTCTCATAATTGTACTTCTGTGGTATCAGTTGTGATGTCTTCTCTTGCATTTGTGACTTTATTTATTTGGGTCCTTTCTCTTTTCCTTTTAGTAAGTCTGGCCAGGGGTTTATCCATTTTATTAATTCTTTCAGAGAACCAGCTCCTAGTTTCACTTATCTGATCTACTGCTTTTTTTTGTTTCTGTATCATTCATTTCTGCTCAATCATGATTATTTCTCTCCTTCTTTTGCCATTAGGCATTAATTCCTGTTCCTTTCCTAGCTCCCTCAGGGGTAAGGCTAGGTTGTGTATTTGCACCTATTGTTTCATCTTAAGGTAGGCCTGTATTGCAGTATATTTTCCTCTTAGGACCACTTATAGACAAATAGAGCTTTTCCTCCAAGGTCAGCCAAAGTTTGAGACTGTCCAGTTTTCATTTTCATTTGCTTCCATGTATTTTTTTATTTCCTTTTTAATTTTCTGATGAATCCATTTATTCTTTAGTATGGTATTCTTTAACCCCATGAATTTGTGGTTTTTCCAAAATTTTCCTTGTGATTGACTTTAGGTTTCATAGCATTGTGGTGAGACATTATGCATGATATGATCTCAGTCTTTTTGTATTTGTTGTGACCCAATATGCAACCCAGTGTGACCTATTCTGGAGAATGTTCCAAGCGCGTTCAAGAAGAATGTGTATTCTGGTGCTTTCAGACAAAATGTTTTGAACATATCTGTTAAGATCATCCGATCCATTTTGTTATTTAAACCATTTTTTCCTTGTTGATTTTCAGGTAGATGATCTGCCTGTTGTTCTAAGTGGGGTGTTAAAGCCTCCTAATATTGTATTATTTCAGTGCCTTTAAGTTTGTTATTAATTGATTTTTAGGTTTGGGTGCTCCAGTTTGGGGGGCATAAATATGTACGACTGTTAGATGTTCTTGTTGGATAGATCCTTTTATTGGATAGATCCTTTTATTATATTATAGTGCCCTTCTTCATCTCTTCTTATAGTCTTTAGTTTAAAATCTAGTTTGTCTGATGTAAGTGTGGCTGCTGACTTTCTCTTGATGTCCATTTGCATGGTACATGGTTCTCCATCCCCTCACTTTGAATCTACAAGTGTCTTTAAGTCTAAAGTGAGTTTCTTATAGGCAGCATAGAGACGGGTCTTATTTTTTATCCATTCTGATATCCTATGTCTGTCGGTGGGAGCAGTTAGTCTGTTTCCCTTCAGAGTGAGTGTTGATGGATATGAATTTAGTGCCATTGTGATACTTGTGAAGTTGCTATTCCTGTAGATTTTCTCTCTTCCTTTGTAGTCTTTGTGGCTTGTGATCTTTCTTTCCCTCTTGAAAAGTTCCCTTTAATATTTATTGGAGGGGTAATGTAGTGGTCATGAACTCCTATTGTTTTAGTCTGTCTGGGAAACTCTTTTTCTCCCCCTTCTATTCTGAATGACAGACTTGATGGAAAAGTATTTTTGGCTGCATATTATTCCCATTCAGCACATTGAGTGCATCATGCTTCTCCCTTCTGATCTGTTAGATTTCTGTGGAGAGATCTGCTGCTAACCTTATTTCTCTTCCACTATAATTATGCAGGGGATGATCCCAATCTTTTGGTATTGGCTAAGACCTGATTTGTGACCCAGTAATTTAATTTGGGGATTTCTTTTCCATTGCTGCTCTCAGGATGTTTTCTTCATCTGTATATTTTACAAATTTTACTCTAATATGTCTTGGTGTTGGCCTGCTTTTGTTGATTCTGGCCAGAGTTCTCTGTGTCCCCTGGATTTGGATGTCACTTTCCTTCAGCAGATTAGGGAGGTCTTCAGTATAACTTCCTAGAATAAGCTGTCTGCCCCATTTCCCTTGGACTCCTATGCTCTGCCTGTTATTATGCTTTATGAGGTCACCCAGTTCTTTAAGTCTATATTCATGATCTTTTTCTTTCCTTTGACTTTTCAGCTTCATTATCTCCCATAATTTAATTTTTTAAATCACTTATTCATTCTTCTGCTTCTTCTAACCTTGTGCTCATTGTATCTGGTGGATTTTGCATCTCGATTACAGGATTTTTTATTTCAGATGAAGAGTGTTTAGATCTTTTTTCTCTGTGGTAAGGGACTCTCTGGTGTCTCTTATGCTTTTCTTAAGCCCAGAGAGTATCCTTAGATGTTGTTTTAAATTCTGGGTCAGGCATATTACTTAAATCTGATTAAAATATATCCATGGCTATGACCTTTTTTGTTCTTTCTTTTGGGATAAAGTCTTCCTTCTTGGCATTTTGCCTAAGCCTCTGTCGTCTAGGTGTAAGGAAAGCCTTTATGTTTCCTTGTCATGGGGGTGATGACTGTATTAAGAAGAGGTTGTATGCTGACCAGGCAGAGCCTGGGCTTCAGGAAGTGTCTCGAGTATGCTCTGTACTCTGCTGCTGTGTTTTGGCAGCTCTTTCTCTCAGGTCACCTGTGCGGTGTTTCGCCTGCCTGCAGTGAAGCCCTTGTCCAGTGTGTGTTGAGTTTTACCTAGGTGTGCTGCAGTCATCTTGGTAGAAAGGCTAGACCCAGTATCCACTAGAGCTGGTGTTGTATCACTCCATGGTCTGTAGACTTGGGTGTGGGGAGTGGGTGCTGGTCGTCTCGGGGGGAGAGGCCCAGCTGCCATTCCAGCTCTCAGGTACACTTGCCCTCGTAAGAAAGCACCTGCAGAGCATAAGGGGATGGGGATTGGTGTAACTTTTTCAAGCTCCCACTTTGTTGTCTATACTGCTGCCTGAAGTCCTCAGTGTTGACTAGGAGCGGATAAAAATGGCATCACTCACTCTGTGTTCACACCCACAGCTATTCAGGAAGCCATATAGAAGAGGGAACCATGTCCCCTCATTGGCCCCAGGCTTCCCTCAGATTCCTGCCTTCCCCCTGTCTGTGTCTGAGCTGTCTGACCCCCAGTGGCTCAGTGCTCCTGTTTTATCTCATGCATGCTGGCTGGGTTTCAAAACTTCAAATTTTAGGGACCCAGTGTGGCATGGAGCCACACTAATCCTCTGGGGGAGGGTCTGGCCCATTGTGGCCGGTGCCACTATGTCCCTAAAGGACAGTCACGCGAACACACTGGGGCTTGGAGTTTATGGTGAAGCACAGCGAAAAAGCCAGTGTCCAGGTTAGCTGCACTCAGCAGCTGCCTCTGCTCCTATGGTAATGTGTGGGGTAGTTCAGTGCTGTCTGCTGCCTGTTTTGTCCCTGAGCAGCAGTGCCACCTCTCCCAGATGCACTCCAGTGGGCCCCAGGGGATCCTCAGACAAGCTGTCTGCTGCTGGACCTTTGCCTCCTCCCCCAGGAGCACTTCAGAGCTGGCCAGACTCCACCCATGGGGACAGCGTGGAGCTCTGGGACTCCAGACTCTGAGCTCCACTGCTTCCAAGAACTTTCTATAATCAGCCCCTTTTGCTTTCTCCCCTCAATGGCTTTGGGGAAATGTTTTTCTTGTGCAGTGCCCCGTGCATGTCCTCTCCCACACGCACTCTCCTTTCTTTCCTCTCTCCCTGACCAGGCCCCCCCCCCGCACCTCCCCCAGATCCTGTCTCCACACCTACCTTCCATGCTGTAGCCTCTTTTCTTCAAGTTGTGCGCTTTGCTCTTCCATCCTCAGATCAGTTTCTTGGATGCTCAGAGTGATTTGATATTTCTCTAGCTGTGGTCATAGGATGAGGCAAGCTTAGGGTCGCCCTCCTACTCCTTCCTCTTAACTCCTCCTCCCCTTGTGCAGCAATCTGAACAGCCATGTGCAGGAGGTGTTTGGAGTGAGGTAGTGAGACTGGTGGAAGCCCTGGCTGTCCTGGCCTGGATCTGCTGCTGCAAATCAGGAGAGGCAGGGACACTTGTGAAGATGGCTACTGACCCCAGAGAAGTGCTCGGTCTGAGGTCTATGGGAAAGGCTTCGGGTTTTGTATCCTTGAAAACTAGGCTCCCTTCCTGGCCCACACAGAGGATGAGAAGTACCTTAGTTCCCTGAGGTCAGACCTCCCAGGCCCTAGTTTCTAGCACAAAGGCTGATGAAGTCAGCATCATGAAGTGAGTCTGAACTCGAGAGTCCAAGAACGGGTCTGCAGAGACATTTCCTCTGTGTAAAGTCTGTTTCCTCCCTTGGGTTTGAAATTCTTTTAAGTGGCACAGGACATCAGTAGTGCCCACCTTCCCTGCTCCATCCTTTCTCACACCTGGTGGCCCTCCTCTGTTCCACTACAGAGGGCTTCCTGTGACAGCTGAACACACCTGAATGTCCTGATGGGGCCTCTAGAGCCATGGGGCCCTGGTCCGGGTGTCCTGGGCTCTTTGCTCCCGTGTTACTGTATCTGAAACCTCCTCGCTTGCAGATAGCCTGTCCCTTTGCATTCAGGGACTCGTAACTGCAGCTCTCTTCCTGTGCCAGGAGCACCCCATCTCCAGCTCTCTGTAAGCCCACTCTTTCTCAGGTCACCTGTGTGGTGAGCCTTCACCCATCATCCATTGGAAATAGCAACCCCAGTCCTAGTGTTTTGCTGTATTCTCTGAACCTGGTGCCATCCCACAAGCTCCTTGTCTGTTGAACTGTCCTCCTTCTCCTCCAGGGCAGATCAGGAGTGGAGCACGTCCACCGCCAGGCCCTGAGAAGCACCTCATCACGGTCGGTGCTCATTAAACACAAGTATCTCTTGACATCCAGTTAGTTCCCACATGCGCAGGAAGAGTTAGGAAGGCAGGGGTTTCCATGTTTTGTGAGTCTATCTGGCTTCTGAATTGTGGCTGCTACATAGTAAGATGTCTAATATTGAGGGGACCATCTGAAAACCTGTCTGAATCTGTTCAGGTCCTGAATTGGGGTAGTGAGGCTTCAAATAGGGAAAGTTTGGAAATTTGGGAAAGACGAAACTTATAATTGTTCAATTCATAAGGGAAAGGGAAGACCCAGGTAAGACAAGGATGAAAGTAGGGCTGCTGGGACCACTGAGTCAGAGGACATCACTGGTGGTGGTTCCTTCCTGGGGATAACAGTGCCACCTGGACTTATCACTAGTGATCTTCTCTTCAAAACACTTTAAGAAAGAAGGAAGAATGGAATGTGTCCCTGGAGTGCCTCCCACGAAAATACTCCTGCACTTGAAAGTGTAACGTGCGCTGGCCTGAAACTCACTCAGGCGGCCGGGAGCCTGATGGTGCTGGGTCTGATGGTGGGGCTCAGGCTCTCTGTGGTGGGAGCCCTCTTCTCCAGGCAATGCTTGAACAGAGTTTCCTGCTGAAACACTGTCTCCTTGTGGCCTCTCCCCACCTTGGTTCCTGTCATTGCAGCAGCTTCACTGTTGGGAGTGGTGCCAGTTCAAAGGCAAAGTCTGTGAAGGTTCTGAATGCCCTGGAGGAGGAGGAGGAGATCTTCGTTGTGCCACCTGACAGTGCCTCAGGTGACTTCACTGATGAGGACTCAGGGGACAAAGTTGGCCAGCGAGGCTTCCACTTGCCCGGCAGCGTCCTGCATGCCTCCCTGGTGCCTGAGGACTCTGGTGCAGAGGAGAAGGAGGAGGAGGAGGAGGAGGAGCTGCAGCTGTAGCTGGCCCTGAAGAGACAGAGGGCAGTGGTGGAGCCTTGGCATATTTGGACCAAGAGAGAGTCGGATGAGCTGACTTCTGCAGCTGGACTGCATCCGATCCTCACATAGAGGATCTCAAGAGCCAGGAACTGAGTCCTGTCAGCCTCTTTGAGTTGTTTTTTGATGAAGGAACAATTCATTTCATTGTTAATGAAACCAACTGTTATGCTTGGCAGAAAAATGTCAACCTGGGGCTCACAGCCCAGGAATTAAAGTGTGTTCTGGGCATTTTGATTTTAAGTGGGTATATATCCTATCCAAGGACAAGGATGTTTTGGGAAACCTCTCCTGATTCCCATCAACATCTTGTGGCTGATGCAATCAGAAGGAACAGGTTCGAAGTGATCTTCTCCTATCTGCATTTTGCAGATAACAATGAGCTGGATGAAAGTGATAGGTTTGCCAGAGTCAGGCTTCTCATCGTCTGGATGAATTATAATTTCCAGAAGCACGCACCCTTGGAAGAGTTCTACAGCTTTGGTGAGTCCATGTGTCAGTACTTTGGGCACCGGGGATTCGAGCAGCTACCTGCAGGGAGGCCCATGCAGCCGGGCTACAAGATCTGGTGTAGGACATCCAGCAGGGGCTACCTGGAGTGGTTTGAGCCCTCACAGGGCACGCTGTTCACCAAATCAGACAGGGGTCTGGACCCAGGAGGCAGTGTGGTGGTGAAGTTTGTGGATGCGCTTCAGGAGCGTGGCTGTCGGCCTTACCACATATTTTTCAACAAGGTTTTTACAAGTGTCAAACTCATGTCCATTTTGAAGAAAAAGGGGGTGAAGGCCACAGGAACTGTTCATGAGTATAGGACTGGGCAATGTCCCCTCGAAGATCCCAAAGAACTTAAGAAAATGAAGAGAGGTTCATTTGATTATAAAGTCGATGAGAGCGAGGAGATTATCGTGCGCCGCTGGCATGATGGCAGTGGGGTCAACATCTGCTCCAATGCTGTGGGCATAGAGCCGGTGGGGCTGACCAGCCATCCTTCGGAAACAGCCAAAACGCGGACCCAGGTCCATCAGCCCTCTCTGGTGAAGCTGTACCAGGAGAAGGGGGTGGTGTCAGTCGGATGGACCAGAACATTGCCAAGTACAAGGTGAAGATCCGGGGCATGAAGTGGTATTCAAGCTGCATTGGCTATGTCATCGATGCCGCCCTGGATAATGCCTGGCAGTGGCACAGGATCTGCAGCCGTGATGCCCAGGTGGACCTCCTGGCCTTCCGGAGATATGCGGCCTCTGTGTACCTAGAGAGCAATGCTAACATGTCCTCGCAAGGGAGGCGAAGCAGGCGGCTAGAAACTGAGAGCCACTTTGACATGATTGGGCACTGGATTGTCCACCAGGACAAGAGGACCCAGTGTGCCCTCTGCCACTCACAGACAAACACGCACTGTGAAAAATGCCAGAAGGGTGTCCACGCCAAGTGCTTCAGGGAGTACCATATCCAGTGATGCACGAGGACCAGAGGGAGCCCTGTGGATGTTTGGTTTATAATGAGATTTTACAGCTACTTACATATAGTAGATGGAGCACCTGATTTTGTGTTGGGAAAAAGAGACCTGAATCCCCCATTATTTGCTTTTGTATTTTCTCTGTATCTCCATTACTGTTATCTTTTTATTGTCTTCTCTGATGCCTACATGTAATATAAATTAGTATTTATATTGGCAATGGTCCGTGTTTATAAATGTCTAGATTATACTCTTATTTACTTCAACAACGGGCCCTTTTTATTCAAATAAAAATCTTCCTTTGAGTTATACCTGAGTCCCAGTAAAGAAAATCAAATATAGCCAAAACTTCATGAAACTTTCATGAAGAGTAAAAAAGTTCTGTAATTGTATGCTATTGATGGCAATCCAAGATGGAGCAATAGTATATAATATGGTATTGATGTGATGAAGGATATTTTATCATATTTATTTCACTTTAACACTAGCAGACTCACCAGGGATAGATATTTATCTATTTATCTCTGCCTTCTATTTATCCAGAGGGCTAGATTTGTAGACTTTGTATTTTCTTGATAAAAATATTTTCCTGGGGCGAATGAGTGGCTCCCTTGGTTAAGTGTCAGCTTTCAGCTCAGATCATGATCACAGGGTCCTGGGATGGAGCCCCACATCCAGCTGTCTGCTCAGCGGGAAGTCTGTCTGTCTTTCTCTCCCCCGCTTTCTCCCTCTGCTTCTCCCCACCACTCATTCTCTCTCCCCCCTCTCAAATTAATTAATTAACTAAATATTTTCCTACTTCAGTATATTCTTTTGGAATCCACTTTTATAACTAGAGCGAGATAGGAATCTCTTTCCCTGCCAAAATGATGGTTTGCATAATTTTCAAAAATATATGCATGATTCCCCACTGATTTCAATTCTAACTATATAAATTCCTGAAATTTGGGGTTAAGTATTAAAACATAGGAGTTATTCCAGAAGACTAAAAGAAATACCTGTAAAAATTTGGACCTATCAAAAATCAGAGAAAGGAACTTTTTTTTTTTTACTTTTTAAAAATTCAATGTTTATTACTAATTTGGGGGTAGCATATAGTGATTCTCAATGGCAATAATAACCAATGTTGGTTACATCAAGTGCCCTCTGTAACGCCCATCACCCAAACACCCCATCCCCCCACCTCCTTCCCCTCCAACAACCATCAGTTTTTTTCCTATAGTTGAGTCTTTGATGCTTTACCTCCCTCTCTGTTTTTATTTTATTTGATTTTTCCTTCCCTTCCCTTATGTACATTGGTTTTGTTTCTTAAATTCCACATGTGAGTGAAATCATATGATATTTGTCTATATCTCTGACGTATTTCGCTTAGCCTGCCACCGTCTAGTTCCATCCACATTGTGGCAAGGGACAAGATTTCATTTTCTTTGCCAGCTCTGTAGTATTCTACTGTATAGAAATACCACCTCTTTTTCATCTATTCATCAGTCAACAGACATCTGGGTTCATTCCATAGTTTGTCTCTTGTGGACATTGCTGTTGTAAACACAGGGGTGCAAGGACCACTTTGAATCTGTAGCTTTGTGTCCTTTGAGTAAATACTTAGTTGTGCCATTGCTGGGTTGTATGGTAGCTCTAGTTCTAACTTCTTGAGGAACCTCCCTACTGTTTCCAGAGTGGCTGCAGGAGCTTGCATTCCCACGAATCAACAGTGCATGAGGGTTCCCCTTTCTCTGCATCCTCACCAGCATCTGTGGTTTCCGGAGTTGTCCATTTCAGCCATCTGACGGTGGTTTGTCATTGTGTTTTTGAGTTGCATTTCCCTGATGATGAGGGACCTTGGGCATTTTTTTCACATGTCTGTTAGCCATTTACCTGTTTCATTTGCAAATATTCAACTACTCCTGCAAAAACAGGACCTATTTAATAGTTGAATTATTACCTGGGAAAAGGTGTTTCCCTAACACAAGGATAAAGGAGAACTCTAAAGAATACAGAACTGTATACATAAACCACATCTTCTTTATGTATACAATGGAATATTACTCAGCCATTAGAAATGACAAATACCCACCATTTGCTTCAATGTGGATGGAACTGGAGGGTATTATGCTGAGTGAAGTCAGTCACTCGGAGAAGGACAAACATTATATGTTCTCATTCATTTGGGGAATATAAATAATAGTGAAAAGGAATATAAGGGAAGGGAGAAGAAATGGGTAGGAAATATCAGAAAGGGAGACAGAACATAAAGACTCCTAACTCTGGGAAACGAACTAGGGGTGGTGGAAGGGGAGGAGGGCGGGGGGTGGGGGTGAATGGGTGACGGGCACTGAGGGGGACACTTGACGGGATGAGCACTGGGTGTTATTCTGTAAGTTGGCAAATTGAACACCAATAAAAAATAAATTTATTATTTAAAAAAAAGAATACAGAACTGCAGCCGGAGTCCCAGCTCCACCAGGCAAATCTGTCTGATGGAATTTCAGTTGGGAAGTAAGCTATGTAAGGCAGGGAGCTCGTCACTGTTCTGGCAAAGTGGGCACACATATCTGGTTTTTGGAAGCATCAACGGTGGACAGACAAGTCCCTGACACAGCAGGTTTAAAGCTGGAGCGGCTGTGGCAGGGAAATCTGGGAATGTGGCTCCCTTGCCGGCTGTGAGGAAAGGCCAGGGGAATCCCTAACAAGCAACACAAGGCACATGGGGCTAGCTGCTGCACACTGGGCACTTGGCTGGTGATGCTGACACTCTGGGCAGAGCGGCCTGTCCCAGCACTTACTGGTCTCCATCATCATGTCTCCAGTGCTTACGTTTTTGCGCCCTAGTTTTTTTTTTTTTTTTTTAATCACATTTATGTTAGTTTTTCAAACCACTAACATTTAGCTTTATGATTTTCCCCAGCATGCATCTGCTTTCTTTTAATGAAGTTCTGCTTTTATATTTGTAATGTAGTTGCTTCTACTGTCTTCTTTTCTATTTGCTATTTTTCTTTGGATTTTTTTTTAAGATTTTATTTATTCATGAGAGACAGACAGACAGAGAGAGAGAGAGAGAGAGAGGCAGAGGCACAGGCAGTGAGAGAGGGGGAAGCAGGCTCCATGCAGGGAGTCCGACGCTGGATCCCAGGTCTCCAGGATCATGTTCTGGGCCGAAGGCGGCGCTAAACCACTGCCACCTGGGCTGCCCTCTTCTTTGGCTTCTTAAAGGAGAAGATTTTTACCTGATTATCAGCATTTCTTCTTCTCTAATATAGACACGTGCAAGTTTGTTTGTGCCTCTAATCTATATCCCACGCAAAATTTGGACAAGGCTGTGCTGCGGGGACATGGGGACGTCCTGAGCCCTGCACACATCAGGGCGCGCAGCCGGGCAGAGGCCACCACGGTTCAGACGCTTGAGGCAGAACTTGGTGTCGCCAGAGTGGAGGTTCGAAGGGGGGCCTGGGGGCCGGAGGAGGGGAGCAGCGAGGAGGGGAGAGGGGCAGGGCCCTGTCCTCACGCTCTGAGACCACATTTCCCCGCCCAGTGGCTTTCCCCACCAACACTCCCTGTCCCAGTGTCGGGGGCCAGGGATCCCCGCAGGGCGCAGCGGGGCTCCTGCCAGAGCCTCCCAGGGGGCGGGGCTGCTGTCAAGGCCGAGGGTGGACCTGCTTCCCTGGGAAGCAGGGCTGGGGGCGGGATTCAGCCCACACTGCAGGCCGAGTTCCTGTGGCCTGTGGGCTGTTGTAAGAAACAACAAATGTTGGAGAGGACGTGGAGAAAGTGTAACTCTCTTGCATTGGTGGTGGGAACAAAAACTGGTGCAGCCACTCTGGAAAACAGTATGGAGGTTCCTCAAGAAGTTAAAAATAGAGCTACCCTATAACCCAGCAATTGCACCACTGGGTATTTACCCCCAAAATACTGATGTAGTGAAATTCTGGGACACCTGCACCCCAATGTTTGTAGCAGCAATGTCCACAATAGCCAAACTGTGGAAGGAGCCACTATGTCCTTTGACAGATGGATAAAGAAGATGTGGTATATATACAATGGAATATTACTCAGCCATCAGAAAGATGAATACCCACCATTTGCTTCAACTTGGATGGAATTGGAGGATAATATGCTAAGTGAAATAAGTCAATTGGAGAAGGACAATCATCATATGGTTTCCACTCATATGTGGAATATAAGAAATAGTGAAAGGGATTATAAGGGAAAGGAGGGGAACCCAGTGGGGAAAATTAGAGAGACAGACAAACCATGGGAGACTCCCAACTCTTGGAAACAAGACAAAGGGTTGCAGAAGAGGAGGTGGGTGGGAGGATGGAGTAACTTGATGATGGGCACTAAAGAGGGCACTTGATGGGATGAGCACTGGGTGTTATACTATATGTTGACAAATTGAATTTAAATTTTAAGAAAGTAGGTGTGGAGGCACAATGGAAATGCTATATACTTTACACTGAGAGACAAAACGTTACTTGAATGTAGCTTTGAACTAGCATCCAATATAAGGGAGTTAGAACCTATCTCAAAAGTAGGTGTGACACTTATATTAAAGTAGGCAGATGCTCAACCACTGAGCCATCCAGGCGCCCCCTGCCAAATTATTTGAATAGACATTTCATTAGAGAAGATAAATGAATGTTTAATAAGCCTATGAAAATATGCTCAACATCATCAGTTAATAAGAAAATACATTAAAACCATAATGAAATACCACTACACACCTACTAGAATGGCTATAATTTTTTTTAAAAAGACAGTAACAATACTGGCAAGGAAGTGGAGAAACTAAAACTCTCCTACCTTGTTGTGATAACATAAAATGGTATAGCCAATGTAAAATAGTTTGGTGTTTCTTAAAATGTTAAAAAACTTATCATACAAATCAGCAATTCTACTCCTAGGAATCTATCCAGGAAAAATGAAAACCTTTGTTCACACAAAGACATGTACACAAATATTCTCAACACCATTATTCATTATAGTCCCAAACTGGAAATAACCCA